GCCTAATAAAACTATGATCGGCTCTCGAACCCCCCCCACTCGCTCGGCGTTTTGAATAAAACGGCACATGCCGAGAGCGACGGGTAGATATAATAGATACAGGGCGCACATTCGGCACTAGTAATTAGTGGTATGCATAAATCATCGCGACCCGAGCGGCGCGTAAAATGCACACGCGCGACTGCGCCCGTTATACTCCCCTCGCGAAACCCGAGCGTGTGTGTACTCAGTCTCTCGTGTATGCAAACCTCGTATCGGGGAGAGGGTTTTTGTATGTCTGTCCGTGTGTTTCTGCCCGCGGATGTTTTCTGGTGTACGGTACGCCGGTGTATCGGATCGGTTAGCTGCTAAACGGCCGCGGCTGTGCGACCGATAATCGATCGTTCGTCTTGCTCCAACTTTTACGGCATCGTTTCACGTGGAATTGATTTCGTAGGGTGTCGCGAGGAGTTGGGGGGGTGTGTTTTTACGAATTTTCAAAAAGGGTCCCCCGTGGCGCGCCCTTTCTCGCGATCCCAGTAGTACGGACCACGAATGGTCAGACCAGGGGCGAATCGAAATTTTTTCCCACCAACACTTTGAAGCTACAATTATGCATGTATACGACAACGTGGTCGCGAGGGTGCAACACGATGTATCCGGTGATAAAGCCGGCTCGATCGCTCGTTATGGCTCCTCCTCCTCCTCTCCCTTCATTCCGATTTCATCGTCACGCTATTATCTTTCGCTTCATGGGTATCCGATCCCCCTTCGGTCACTGCGCCATTCGTTGATTTTTCACAAAGTTGTGCTGTATCGGTTTTCCGCGCGTTTAATACATACGTATGTATGTATGTATATACATACATGAATATACCCCTGCATCGCTCGTCAAAACGCGTTAATACCGGGAGGGGGCGATTGACATTTAATCAGTTGTTGAGATGTGAGCCCAAACGAGCGGCTGCAGCCAAATTAGCTCGTTTGCCTTTGCCTCTCGCCTTTCTCTATCCTCCCCCTCCGCCCACCCCTTTCTGTTTCAATTCAATGGCCTCACCTCCCTAGCGTCCGTTTGCGCTTGGTTTGACGAGCGCCCGACCGAGGGGGACTGCTCTGCTGGAGACGCGTTTCGGGGGATTATCGCCATTGGAAATGCAACTCGAGCCGCAAACCCTACCCCTATACCCCCTCGTTTGGCGTTTGCGTGCAACGACACCCGAACGCGATACCAGAACGCGAAGAAACGCAAATTCCTTGACAACGTTGGACAGGGAGCACTCGAGCGCGATATCTACCGTCCGGGGGTGCAGGGGGGAGCTTTTACCTCGTACTTTTTCTTTTTGTTTTGTTCATGAAAAAATTAAATCAAACCAGCCAATGAGTTATTCAGCCGTGTACATACCCATACAGCGCCTTTACCCCGTAGTACGGAGCTCCCCGATTCTTACGCCTCGATTATCTCCATCCGCAGTCAAAGTAGGGTTGTGGGGGGGGGGACCGTTCGCAAACTCGAGGCTCGGAGGTAAACTCGGTTGTTGTGAATAAGTAAGCAAAGTGCGTGCCCTCTGCAAAGTTGAACGCGCCTCGGCTTGAATTAAATTGTTACACGCTGGAGTGGCGCGCACGAGCTCGTGTATATATATGTGTATATGTACCGCGCCCGTGAATCTTTGATCGCTCCGCTAATGGCGATGAATTCTTTTTTTTTTGTGATTTTGGGCTCGAAAAAAAACAAAAAACGACGGGGTTTGCTTCCTTTTCCAAAATAACCGGGATGATATCTCTCTCTGTGCCGAGCTGCTCCCGAGGAGTATAATTGACACGAGGGGAGCCGTGGGGAGCCGAGGGGGGCCAAGAGGCGCGAGACATCTGGCGAAAAGAGAAGAGTTAGCAGCCGAAGGGAGAGTTCGAAACTATGCGAGAGACGTGCGTTGCCTCGGAGGTGTACGTCAGATGCAAATCATCCCGGGCTAATTTCTCGGAAAACTCGCGAATCCGCGCCCTCCCCCCCCCCCCGCTGCACAGTTGAAACTTGGATGCTGTACGTGTATTAGTTACATTTGGCTGGTAAAGCGAGGAGAGAGATGAGGCCGGCTGGTAAATTTCCGCTCTTCCCCGGCTTTTGTTCCGTCATAATCCCATTCCGGCGATGTTTGCCATGCACCCCCTCCCCCCCCCACAGACTGTGCGTGGGCGCTATTTATATCCGCCGCCGCAGCTGGAAGACTTTGAAATTTGATTTGAAAAGCTCTCGGTTATGTGGTCTCCCTCGCCGTGGCGTCGCACTTTGTCGCTTGTTACTTTCTATCTTTTTTTTCCTCGCGCGTTAAATCTCGAGTGGATAATTGGGGGCTTCCTGGTATTGATTTTTTCGCCTCAAAATTACTGCGTGCACAACCACGTACAAGGGGAGGGAAGCTCCAAAGCCCGCGTGTCTCTTAATCCCCACACACCGGCACTCGGGCGGGCGAAATTGGTTTTTTATTAAAAGCCGCACGCCACGAGGCTCGGCTCGGGGTAAAAAAGGTCTGCAGGCACGGTCGTCGTGACGGGGTCGACGGCACCCCTTTCCCCTTCTCCTACCTCCGAGTGCAGGTAACCTTAGCTCCCGCGATCCTCGCGATACATTACACTTGCGATTCTCATCTTGCGCCGTATACTATTGAATCGGGGAAAAGACGTGCAAGTATTACTTGGTGACGATAATAAAGGAACGAGCCTCTTCCTCTTCCGATGAAACAACGTTTTGCTTGCGCCTTGCTCCGATGGGCCGTAAAAGTCCACTCGGAGGGAAAAGGAGCAACAAAGTATCGAGCCCCCGCACTCTCGACTCCCCGAAGAGAACAGGGGAGCCTCGTAAAGGGGGAAAAAAGCTCGGTACGTATAACACATTCGCAGGAGGTATTATATACCCGGTTGGAAAAGAGTACAGCTTGCAACAGGGAGGGGGTGGGGGCAATTTATTTACGCCGATGTCTCGAGCTTCGAGTGCATGTACACGCGCGCGCGGCTAGTTGACCGCGAAGCGGAAACGGATGTGACCGGGCTGGTCACGCGAGCACCTGCCCTCGCGCACGTGTAGGTGTTTAATCGCGGGCATTTCTCTTACCAGTTGGTTTATCGTCCTCCGCAGTACTCCGTTTTCTTCTTCTTTTTTTTTTTTTTTTTTTTTTTTCTCTCAACCGCGGAGGGGCTGGGTCGTCCTTTTGTTCGAGCTAATACGCGCTTTCTTAGGCAACGAAACACAACGCGCCTTGCACAAAGTTTCGGGGGCGGCATTGTTCGGGATCTCCCGGCGAACCGTTGAATCGGAGAGGCCGAGTGGATCGTGAGCCGAGACGAGGAGGCTTATACACCCGTCATCTTGGAAGTGGCTTCGCGGCGAGAGCCGATAAGTCCCTCGACGGAGGTGCTTTGCATTTGAAAACGCGCTTGCGAATGCTAAACGTACCCTATTATTGTATCTGAACATTTTTTTCTGCACTGCGGAGCTTTCGTGTATACAATACAGCAGAGCGAAGGGTCCAGTATATTCCCCGACGCGTGACAAGCTCGAGCTTTCGCTGGAAATCCAAACAATCGCACCTCTTTTCTCGCGCGTCCCTCGAGGGGGGTCTCTTTTCCGTGCACTCAAAGAGTCAACTTGGCACTCGGAAATCCAAGAGAGAGAGAGAGAGGGGCCATTTTACTTCCGGCCGGCTCGAGACTTCCGCCGCGACGTCACGCACCAAGGGACTCTGCTTTACTCGCGCGCCCGTGTGTGTGCGCTTTAAGGCGAGGAGCAGGGAGATCCGTCCGCCAGATTATATTCAAATTAAATGCGGACTCTAACCGGTAATATACTGCCGCCAATTTAGTTACAAGCCCCTTGAGACTTATATACGAAACGAGCGCTCGCGCGACCACTGTAATTGTACGTGTATGTAATAGTATGTATACCGGCTTGTGTGCATTGCGCCGCTGTTTTTCGACGCTTGACAGGAGACTTGTATATTTTTCTTTTCTTTTTTTTTCTCCCCAAGTGTAACTACTTCTCGTACCCAAGGCTCTGGTTGAATCAAACGAGCTTCTCCAACTCGTTGGCTATTCAAGCAATGATATCATTGCGGCATCTCACGTGTTTTTTTTGGTACTCATTAATGTATTTATAATGAATCTCGGCGCGTCAAAGACGAATTTAGCCAAACCATGTTATGATTTTTTTTTCATTTCCACAGCTTAAATGTGCAGGAAAAAAAAGTCATGTTAAATAAACCTAACTTATTCGTGAAGTGAATTGTTCAAGCTAATATATTTGTTATGGAAGGTACCAATTCTATAGTAACTATATTGATGTAACAAAATGTGATTATTGAGACGACTGCCAAATTAATCTCGATGCAGCTTACGTATGAAAACATTCACGAGAAAGGTAAAAAAAAAATTGTTCACTTATGATTATCTTATTAGTACTGTATACTTGAAAATTCACTGAAATATTTAATGTACCTTTTGAGGTGAGACTACAAAAAAAAAAAAAAAAAAAAATAGTAATAATAATTCCTCAATACAACAACACCACGTACCTACTGGGAGAAACAATTAAAGCACCAAATACGGCAAAAGTTCGAAAGGTTTAAACAAGAAGATGTATTCGAATGCGGTTTTGTGCATTCAATTCGATAGGGCTTCAGGAAACTCTGTGACCTGAATTAATTCAGAAGAGATTTACCAGGCTGGGGTCACCGGCCTTACCCAGCAAGGAGTGGTTTCTGAAATACGGGGCATCTCCGGGAAAAAAAGGCTACGCAGTGGCGAGTGGACCGGATGCACCATTGGTGCAGAGAGTGCTAGTTTATTATCTATAGCAAGGTGTGGTTTATCGGAGATATTCCCACTGGGCCTTATGATGATTGGTAAAAAAAAAAAAAAATTTAAGTATTTTAATTATGCTGCATGCGGATAATCAATAATAATTGAGTTATATTATTAAATAATTGGGTATTAGTTAATGTGTAAGCGAGGGATTATTGGTGAGTCACCTGTGATTGCACTGCTGGCAGGCGAAGCATTCCAGGTGATAGACGTTCGCCCTTGCGCGCATCACCATCTCGAAGGCTGGTATGACCTTGCTGCAAGCGGCGCAGTGGCCTGTGTTACCGAATAATCTGAAAAATGATGATTGATTGTTCTTTATCTTTTTTCCTAGCGTTAAATGTACTATTTGTTGTTTAATTAGTTAAAAAGGTTATTGGTTGAGGAGGGTTTTTTTTTGGATCTGAAAAACCCGATGGCACCAAATAACCATTACGTGGAGCTCTTTTTAAATGTTGGCATCTCTTTTTTATAGGATTATATAAAATACGCTACCGCAGTGTTTACAATTGTTATAAAAATAATTAAAATATGACGTGATTGATCAAATATTTCTTCTTTGGCTCCTCCAAAACATTTCTTTGTCAACATGTACTTTATCGGTTATAACACATTTAGTGATGATTCACCGCAGAATCCCCTTAAAGTTCACCACGGGCGTGAAAATAACATCAACACCTCGAGCGGGAAAAGTGGTAAATAAAATTCCATAATATTTTTCTATATTCCTGCGCGAAAGGCAAATAAAGAGGCAAACAATCCGTGTTGGCAAATACGAGCGACGGCGCGTCCCGATGCGCTCCCTCGGGAGTGCAGGTGCTCTACCCTCCCTTCAAAGGTCGTGGGATGTATTAATGGCCCAATGTTTGAGGAAGACATTGGCAGACCAAAACTTACTTCAATTCAATTGAAAGATTTTTCTAGTTACGTTAGTCGGAAAAGCTATAATATATTGGCACACCGTTGTGTCATTGATTTAAATATCGAATTGTAGTGATCACAATGAACGCGAGGATGCTCGAGTAGTGACTTTTTTTTCTATGGACATACCGACCGGTCAAGGTCTTCTATCGAAACGTAAGCCAAGTATCTCACCGTAGGTAGTCACGCTTGCAGAGCACGAGATTGGCCTTGGTATAGCAGGTCGAGCCCACCTCGCCGAGCCGGCAGTCGCAGCAGCTGCACTTCAGACAGTCCTCGTGCCAGTACATGTCCAACGCCCTGAGCAAATACCTGCGACACGAAAGATTCAGTAGCGATTCATTTTTTTTTTTTTTTTTTTTTTTCATTTATCGTACCTCTCCGTGATCGGCTTCCGGCACCCGGCGCACTCCTGCTGCCCAGTTCCGTTTCGGCTAGACTCCGACTTGCTCACGTCCATGGTCATTTTATTCCCCCGCTCCGCTTGTTCTGCAACACAACGACAATTTTCTTCTTTAGTGCCCAATGAAACAATTTCCCACGGTTAGGTGCGCGACATCGAAATGCCCCCGTATCCATAAACCAAAAGTAAAAAGGGATTTGGGCTATAACGGGTGGGAGAGAAAAAACAAATTTCGAGGTGTGTCCACGAAAGACCGGCGCGAACTCTCGACAGTTTACGGCAGCAAGTTTTAACCGGAACATCTGTCGCGGATCCGGGTTTGCCTATGAGTAATTAGAGCTACGGCTTGAGAATTTAGCCGCGCGGTTGGTGCCATCTGTGTCCGAGAGCGGCCCGCGTTTGCTATCCGTGCCCCCCCCCCCCCCACGGACGAGCGGTCAGAGTTTAGAATCGAATTAGTTTCCCTCTGTCTCTTACATACCCCCGCTCGTACACCCTGTAGGTGCCATTTCTCGACTTGCCACCGCTGCGGCTGTGCGCCCACATGACGCTTCGTGGGTGTTTTGTGTTTCTTTCGATTTTTTTGTTTTTTATTTTGTTTCGTCAAATGCGGGGTTACCGTTTTGGCGAAATGGCCCACCGACGAGTATGGAAGGTTTGCAGGTCACTCGGCGATTCGAGGAATTTGCGCGTCCCATCCCTCGGGGGATGAAACAGTAGACGCTCCGCATGCCAAGGAGAGAATACACATGCGGGACAGCAGCTCTGATCCGCGGATCAAAGAGAGAAAGGCGCTTTGGTTTGATCTCTCCACTATAATATACAGTGTGTGTGTGTGTGTCGTTGGTGCGACGCAAAGTTACCGACCGCAGGGAGATATGAGCGTCCTTGGTTATAGTGTGTCCAGGTTCGGGAGGATATATTGAAACCACATAAACTTCGTTCATACCGCCAGGAGCCCTTTGCCCTCCCCCCCAACCTCCTTTTCCCTACCCCCGCGGAGTGTTGTTCTTCTTCCTGGAGTTTGGGAGCTCGGCAAGTCGGTCGAGTTGTACCGTTTGCAAAATATTCATGGTGGAAGCTTTTTTTTCAAACGAATCGCCTCGAACCCCTTGTCCATGTCTCCGGGGTATGGTTGTTCGCGTACATAGAGCCATCTCGACCGCCAAATTCCGTGGGCCGCGAGATTCCTGCGGGGCCATTCCCGCGGTGAGCCCAACGAACTCCGTGCCCCCTCCGCCCTCGCCGTTATTCTTTAACCCCCCCCACGCGTTCCCCTCCCGCTCTCCCCGAACAACACTGTAGGCGCTTGTACCAACTCTCGGTCGGGCGACTCTCTGTCCGCTCGGAACTTTCGTGTACAAAAATAAGGGAAAATTGTTGCGGTGGTCCCTCAAAGCCCCCCCGCTGCGGTGGCCTATATGTACTCGTGCACCGGTGTGTCTCGAGTTTGCGGCCGGCCAACCGCAAAACTACCTCGCCGGGATCGTACTCCTCCTCCCCTGGTTTTGCCGGTGCATTCTTCCCGGGAGTTGGTTCGCGGTGGGGATACACACTGCGAGCTTTTTGCGCGGCTGTGCTTTGAGGACGCGAGTGCCATTTTTTTTTTTCTTTTCGCGTGAGAGGAGTGTAACAATTGAAGCTTACTGTACACAACTGTCACTCGTGGAAAACGTCATTGACCTACTTTCATCCCCAGCAGGAACAGAGTTAAAATTGAAAGTATACGTATATAGATTCGTGTGAAGAAGTTTGAGGTGAGTCACGTGGGGTCGGATGGATATTGAATGAAATTAAACTTTGGAGACTGTACACTGCGGTGCAACCCAATTCGAGAGACAGGGATAAAAGCGCCAAAAAGGAGTTAATAACGTTAAAGCGGGAGATACTCGTACGGCTCAGTGGTCCGCGAGACACAGCCTCCCGACTCCGACGACCCTCCTCCGCCCGGGTTAGACCGTCTGGTCGCAAGAGGCCACTTCACAGCGTGTATACGCTTATCGCGTGGGATACACGGGGCCCCCCTCGCTCCCTCGACTCGTCCAACGGCCTGCACCGCTGATCGAATCACCCATCGGCTTCGTGATCCTCAAAGCGACCGATAATTCGATTACTCGCGCCGTGCGTTCATCAACCGCTAACCAACCGATATGCCTCCTGCTCGACCCCCGCCCCCTCCTGTCCCGTATCGTTGTCGGGCTCCACGAGGGGCTCGCTGCACCGGGGCTTGGAAGCTGTGCAAGACCGCTTCGGTCAATTAGACCACTCGACTTTTTTCCTCCCCCCCCCCCCCAACCGACGACGCTCGCGTGTTGTGCCAACTCCACGAAATCGTCAGTCATTCGATGCGGAGCTGTCTACGGTTGGGATCGCGGAGGACCCTTCCTTCGGAGTTGTAGATAATCTTGTATCTCACGGCTTCGTGGAACACTACCCCCGTAGAATCGACTCGATCGAGCGTTAACCGCCTCGCGCCGAATCCGAGCGCCGTTCTGTCACGCGATACGTCGACCTGTATATCCGCTTGCCGATCTTGTGAGGATCTATTTTAATTTATTTTAAATAGGAAAAAAAAAAGGAAAAAGAAAAAACATTTGTAATTGTATGTGGTTTCGATGCCGTTGAAAACGCCGTTCGATTATTCCAGCTGTTGAATTCAATTGTACAACGTATATAATTAACTAAATTTCGACATTTGCGCTTGAAATCTCACCCCATCCCGTTGAATTTGCATTTGAAATTACAACTCGGCTAATTCATTCGTATATACCTGCGTGTATCGATTACACACGTGGTTATGTTTCCCGTTGTGTGTGGGGGGGGGGGTTATTCATAATTTAATTTTCCGATAACGCGCGCGTGCACGCGTGTGCGTTTCTTTTTCGTCGGGAAGGGGGGAGGGGGCGATTGATGAATCATTTATAAGATCATTTATTTCATTGCAAATTCATGCGCGCTCATCAAATCATATCCGCCAGATATTTGTGTGTGTTCTACACTGTAATCCGACACTCGACATGGAATCCAATATAAATTCATTAAATCGCGCCGCATGTAATTATAATTTATTTATTAATATTTCTCGACGTTTTGTGCACGCGCGTTGTTGTTTTTTTTTTTTTCCTCCAAACCAGACAGATATTGCAATTTTATAATTTGAAGGAAATGATACACGCAAGCTTTCGCATCGATGTAATATCGTCTTCCCGCACAGTATCGATTAAAACAAATTTTTACACTATACCAGCTGTTTGTATTATACGTACAGCATCGGATACAATAATTAACAAAAAAAAAAAAAAAAACTTTGTGCCTCACCTCGACAGCCTCATTTTGCAATCACCTCGATGTTCCTGGTATCCCGATCGACACCCCCATCACTCCGAGAACAAGCAAAAGGTAACGTCCTCACCTTGTACCATCACCTCCTCGACGATCGATCCCGGCGTACCAAATACGTACTAGTTCGCGCACTGTGGGTCACCCCGACTCGATCTCGAAAAACTATACCGGAAGAGATCCACACGTATATATATATATACGCGCTTGCGCTGGTCCGAGAGGGAGGGAGAGGGAGAAAAACAGGTCCGCGTGACGTCCCCGCGGAGGGACGAGTGGCGACGCAATGTGTCCGCGATATAGGTTGAGGCGCGAGCCTCCTCCGAGTGCAGCCGTGTGCGCGCGCAAAAAGAGTTGGCACCCGAGCCGCCCCCGAGGCTCCGCCCTTGCTCCCACGCGCGCCCCGTCCTCCGAGAGGACCACCCACCTCCTCCCCTTGCGTGTCCTCTCTGTTACCGTCATCGAAATAACCTCCCGATTCTCCTCACCGGGGCTGTAGGTGCGAATCGGAATTTCCACGCGCTCGGTATGGGCTTGTCGATCTTTACGGCGCCAAGGCTGAATTATTCATCGAAAGAAGGGGGAAATAAATCAATACCATTTACAAAAGAGGTTACGCGGATGGAGGGGGTGGACGAGCTGTGCCGGAGAGGAAAAATCAGTTGTTAATGTATTGGCGGCCGTCGTCTGTAGCCAGTAGTTCGGGTCAACGAGTGGTCAGACGCTCGGGTTGACGGTAAGGAGCTGTGGGCTTTTTCTGGGGAAGAGTTGGGGATTTTCGAGGGAACGTGTCTTTTTTACATTGGAATACTGGGGAATTCCTTTGAATGAGGCCAACAATTTTCAATAAGGTAAAAAAAAATGTGATAACGCAGATGAAACATTTCTCAACTTCGGAAAATTTACATATTTGCGTGTGGAAAAGTTTATTATTTTAACGAACATTAAGGTATATCTTGATTGCCATTGCTCCTGGTTATTAAAAAAATTGCTGTGATAAGAATTTTGTTATGTTTTTTATTGCAAAGTTTAGGCATTATCTTGTGATAAATATACAAGACACTGACATTGACATGCAAATTCGACAAGAAATGTTTTATTCTTGACAATATACACTTGTTGTTCAGGTAATTACATCTTAAATTGCTTTTAATCTACGTCTAATAGTTGAACTACGTTTTCTAACATGTTAATCTAATTTTGGAGGTACAAAAACATTCAGTACGCGAGTAAAAGTAATTTTATTTTTTTATTTTCAGTATTTACAACAGTTAAAATGGCCTTGCACTGGTTGAACTTATAGATTTCCGAGATCATTAATGAAGTACCAATAATAAATAAGATTTAGAGAAAAGGACTTTTATAGTTACAGTCGAAAACGAGATTTTTCTGGAAATGTAGTGGTACATTTTTCTCTGCCACTTTCCAATTTACGGTAAAATTTTGTATTAAACAAACAACTACTGTATATATTTACTCTAGTATTATTTATCCATACACGAATCTAAATTTTCCTTTGTTTTTCATCATCTTCTTTTTCCTTTGGTTGGAATAAACGCACGCTCAGATTTTTCCAACTCCAGAACGCAAGGTCTAAAATTAAACTGAAAAACCACTAATAGGCAAAATATTCCAAGAAAATGATATGTTCCCGTTTTCTATCATTGCTCCCCTAATCGAGAAACTGCAATACTCTGTGAAACAAGACACCTGATAATTTCTAACTGATCACTAGATGCATCGACGCAAATCGATGTAAAGACACTTTACTCGTTCCCAAACGCCGAGTTAAAAATACTAATCCGAAAACACCCAACAAGGCACACCACGATCACCAAGAAACCACGTAATGACTCCCCTCGCATGGCGAAAGCAAGCTCGAGTCTTTCGAACAAACGCATCCTCGCTAATTGACCAACCGAATGTCGTTCCAAAGACTCCATCCACGACCCCCTACCCCACCGCACGTAGTTATATAGTCCAAAGATCGGCACGAACGTGCTCCCCATTTAAGCGGCCTCTGTCCTTAATTCCCCGGCAGTTACGCGTTATCTCTACGGAGCTGAGAAGGCAAATGCGTATGCAAAACGCCCTGGCGCGAACTCGCGAAGCCCCGCACGGGAGGTACGAAGGACGCGGGGAAAAATTTCGTACGAGATGAAGATACCAGCTCCTGGACCCTTCCTTTTTTTTTTCCCATGCACGTGGAAAATAATAATAACATCGGGAAGGGTCGGGCGCGTGGGTACACACTTTTAGAATTTAAAAACCAAGGAAGGGATTTTATACACAGGTGACAAGCGCCTCTTAATTTTAAAAGCGCGCGCCAAATGAATGTCTCATCCAATTCGCTTGACGGCGCATAACTGCGCGCATGTGGACCTCAGGGGAGGCGATCCCCCCCCCAAACGATACAGACATCACTCGGGAAAGTAATAGTAATAATTGCGCGAGGCATAAATAACCGAATACACACTCGCGCGCCACTCCATAAATTCGAAAGATTTGTGGCGCTAATATACAAGTAGCGCCCAAGACGGATGTGTATAACGCAAGGAGGAGGAGGAGCGTGACGCTCCGCGATAAAAGAAAGAGAGAAAGGAAGGAAATAAGGGAAAAGCCAGCTAGAGGTAGGCGGTCCATTAATTAGCCGGAGCACATTAAGCCGAGCATTAATATATAGATATGTACGTAGCCGGCAGTGTCCGTAGCCTCGTGTTTTATATCCACCTATAGTTCCCGGGCGGAAGAGGACGGCGTATAAATACGCGGAGCTCAGGTAATCCGTGCCTCCCCCCCCCTCCCTCACATCCCCGCTGGGACTGTTTAAATTTTGCAAATCGTCCTCGGGCGTCCCTCCCCCCACATCCGCTGCCTTTTCTCGTTCTTTCCTCCCGTGCAGCGTACCCGTACTCTGCTGAATCGCAAATTATTCCGGGGGCTTTCCGATAACGAGCCACCCCCGCCTTGCGCGTCTCCGAGAAAAGGATTAGGCCCTTTGAATATGCAGGAGACCCGAATCGACTCCCGGAAAGAGGAGCCATACGCGCGATCTCGATGTTTTCACCGCAGCAGTAATCATACGAACCAAAAAATAAACCAAAACCCAAAGTCTCTCCCCCTCCCGCTCCATACACGGGGTGGTGGTGGACAACCCTTCGCCCGCGGACCGACTACGTATACACATACGTACATGTATGTATCTATTGTACGTAGTCCGGGTGGCAAGCGCAACGTTCTCGTTCGGAATGCTAATGTGTATAATTACGTCCCCGGGGTCCGTTTCCTAGGTTTGCGCCTCAAGTTTTTGCTGAAATTCGCGCGCGCCACGTTTGGAAGCCCCAAATTACCCGGAGGCCACTTGCTCGAGATTTATTTCGCGCGAGAAATATTTCCCTCGCGTACCTAATTACACCTACACGCACGTTGCGTTCTCATCATTGTTTTTCGCGTGTATGCGTATTGGAGACGCGCAATTTCGCGTGTCCCGCAATTTCTTCCTCGATAATCGTCACGCGAGTAACCAAATCTGGGGTAACGCATAGGGTTGTTTATTATTATTATTATTTTTTGTCCCCCTCCGTTGCTCGGCGCCGAGCTAAATTGACCACGTAATCCACCCGTGGACGTAACGACGACGTCCGCGAAGCAGCTCACCCCTTTGGAAAATGTTCATTTAGCCGAGTTGGCCGACGAAGCACGCCCCGAGATTAAAGTCAAGGCAAACGTGTTCATCTCCTCCTTGCTCGTCTCCTCGCTATACCTGCAGCCGGCTCTAATGAAATTCCGGTCAGGTCGCTGGATTCTTTCGTCAGGTGCGGCCCTCCTCCGCCACCCCCCCCCCTTTTTTTTTTCCTCCCCAGTTTGCGTTTCGCCGCCTCGAGATATAGCGACCTGCTGCTGCGTTGGCTGTTTGCGCGCATGTATATAGGTACGAGCGAAAGGGGGGAAAAAAAAAATTGAAGATAGGAAGATGTGAAAGGACCGAGTGACTTTATCGCGGGACGGCCTGTTGTCGGTGACGATCCGAGCGGAAAAAAAGGTACGTGCCATTTTTAGTGTGAGCGCGCACGCTCGGTGGGGATGAATTTTAGATCTATTGTGCGAGTACATTATTTTCTTCCTTTCTTTTTTGATGTCGTCTCCGTGAAGCGCGATTGTCAAATATTTTCGAAAAATATCGCAGTATATGTAAATTTAAAGAAAAACCCATGGCCATTATATGTCAGAGAGTAGCGGCGGTGCGTGGAGTGCAAGGGAACGGGAAGGGTCATACACGGTGGGGGCGAGAGATAGTCGCTCGTGAAATAGGGGCGGTGGGTGGTGTGCAGTCAGATTACAGCTAAGCTATGCTCGTACGTGCTCGCTCGGAAGTTGGCCCGGCGCTTGGCGTTTCCGTGCTCTCGCCCGCATCTGCCCATCACCCAACTCCCTACCTTTTTCCCCTTCCCCTCTTCTTTTCTTTCCTCTTTTTGCTCCTTCTCCTACCGGCGCCCGTGTGTATATGCACGAGAGCGCGAAATATATTTATTGTTGTTTGCTCGACATTTCGTACGACGCGCGCGTGGACAATACCAGCGGCCAACTCGAGTGGCGACAAAAAGAAATTACCCTACGGGCTGCCCTGAGGGGGGGATGTGGATGTATAACGCTTACGCGACGCGAAATAAATTACAGGGGACTATTTGCCTGCCGGAGGGGGGCTTTTTTTTTTGTTCCCGTAAATGGTTTACGGTGCGCGAGAGGATTCCTCTCCATCGCAAAAAAGAAAAAAAAATGGTAATGTGCAGCGCGTAAAAATTAAATACATACGCGGTGGTCGTCATCCCACTCCCCCGGAATCCGAGAGCTGCATCACCGAGCGATTAACGATGATGGCCTAGGCCTCCCCGTGTCCACTTTTGCCAAAACTAAAATTAGAAGAGGGACGTGCGTGGGTTTATACGCGGGGAGACAAAAGGGCTGGCGCGCCAAGTTTTATCTTGCGGGATTAATGGACGGATTAAAGTATTTGCGAGAGACAGTCGCGCGCGGGACGATGCGGGCTTTGGGGGGGGGGGTTGAGATCAGTCGGGGCTTGATTGGCTCATTTGTAAGTGTCCCCGGCAGGCAGGCGGGACTTGGTACACCATACATGTGTGCGGAGAAACTTAACAATCGATCGGGCACACGAGACGCGTGCAGTTGTATGCCGATTGGTTTGCTCGCCGGGGGGGAAAAAAGTTGGTG